CCAGGCCTCTAGTACCGTGGTTGGCAAACCGTGGCTCGCGAGCCACATGCGGCTCTTTGGCCCCTTGAGTGTGGCTCTTCCACAAAATACCACGTGCGGGCGCGCACGTACAGTGCGAAGTTGACTTAACACTTTAAGTAAAGTTTATTCAGTTAATTTTAGGGAACGTTGTGGAGTGAAAGAGGATATAGTGTCGAGGATTGAGAAAGGTATGTTGAGATGGTTTGGACATACAGAGAGGATGAACGGAAGGAGATGGACGAAACAAGTATACAAGACGCGTGTGGATGGGAGAGTTGGAAGGGGTCGACCTCAGCGAACGTACCTCAATCAGATTGAGGACGTTTTTAGCAAAGGCCAGCTTAGGAGGACCCTAATTAAGTTAATAACAATGTACCTACCTGTATAGTTTAAGTTTAAAAAATTTGGCTCTCAAAAGAAATTTCAATCGTTGTCCTATTGATATTTGGCTCTGCTGACTCATGAGTTTGCCGACCACTGCCCAGGGTGCAGCCGCTGCCACCGCAGAGCGCATCTACGGCGACCCCCGCCTACGGGGACCCATTGGGTACGGCTGCTTCGCTAGCTGGCTTCAGAAAGGACGCGTCAATGATTGACAGGTTAGCCAGTGACTCCAAGTCACCCCTGCCAGCCCCCCAAGGGCCTTTGGCAGCGTCACCCGAGCCCGCGGGGCGCGAGGATGCTAAAGTTCGGTTAATGAGTGACAGTCGCTGACAACTTCCTGAAGACGCGCGTCCAAGCCTCTGTGGCGGTCTGGTGACCCCGGGTTTTCTCTGGTGGGCACGGCGCCTGAGCGTGCACCAAAGCGGCCCCCGGGTAGGCGCAGCATTGGGGTGGATGAAGAACAGGCGCCCAGTGACTCACCGTGCAGCGGGCTGATCGCACCGGGTCCTGGGCAGTTTGCAGGAAACGTATAAAGACGGAGCCCATCGCTTCCTGCCAACCCATTGCTCCACGGCACGTTCGTGCTTGGACCCTCACCTAACGGGCGTTGGTCAGTGAGTGGACGCAGGGCCTGGGCTTGTTGGCACTTTCATCAAAGCAAAATCAGCCCTGGCCGGTTTGGCTCAGCGGATAGAGCGTTGGCCTGCGGACGGAAGGGTCCTGGGTTCGATTCCTGGTCAAGGACACCTGTCGGGGTTTCGGCTCGATCCCTAGTAGGGGGCATGCAGGAGGCAGCCGATCTATGATTCTCTCTCATCATGGATGTTTCTCTCTCTCTCTCCCTCTCCCTTCCTCTCTGAAGTCAATAAAAATATATTTTTAAAAAACCACCACAAAATAAAATCAGTTTCCTTAACACCCCCCCACCCCCTCAACCCCCGAAGTACGTAAGGTGTTGGAATGGCCTGTTCGGGCCAAGCTTCCGTCTCTTTCTCTGGAATCCCTGTGAGAACGGGGCCACCTGGCTGGGGAGATAAGTCGCTCTGACACCGGACTGGCCAGGTAGCTGTGACTCACCATTTACCGCTCTAATCATTAAACAGCCTCGGTCGATGTTTTGGTGATGCCAATGGCCAAGTCCCGGCTCCTCCACCTTCCACCTGCGTGGGGTCATTTTATTTTCATTGGAGGCCTTATTTTTTGTTTGTTTTGTACATCCTCACCCAAGAATATGTTTTTCCATTGATTTTTAGAGCGCGTGGAAGGGAGGGGGCGAGGAAAGAGAGAGAGAGAGAGAGAGAGAGAGAGAGAGAGAGAGACATCGATGTGAGAGGGACACATCGCCTGGTTGCCCTCCGCAGCTGAGCGTGCGAGAGCGAAGATGAGACCCCCGGATGTGACCACAGTGACTGCCCCAGAGGGAGCCGGTCCTGGGGCGTTGCGTCTGGGAATCTGTGCTTCAGTGTCTCCACTTTTTTATTTATTTTTAAAATATATTTTTATTGATTTCAGAGAGGAAGGGAGAGGGGGAGAGAACCATCAATGATGAGAGAGAATCATGGACCGGCCGCCTCCTGCACGCCCCCTGCTGGGAATCAAGCCCGCAACCCAGGCATGTGCCCTTGACTGGAATCGAACCCGGGACCCTTCAGTCCGCAGGCGGATGCTCTATCCACTGAGCCACACCGGCCAGGGCTTGACGTCTCCAGTTTTAACTCGGGGCAAGGTTTGGGGCTCATGGCACCGTGAGTGCTGTCTGCCAGCTTTCTTTTTTTCTTTCCTTTTTCTTGTAAAATCAATCAGACGCATTGTTTGTTCCTCCGGGTCTGACAGACGTGTTGTAATAAGGCCCCGAGCGGCGCCCGCTTCTCTATGTACCTTCTGTCTAAAGGCCCGTTCGAGCCGTGACCCGCATTCATGGGACCACAAACACCGGGTTTAACCATTAACTCTCGCGCCACC